CCTCCATCGACGCAGTCCGGAAAGGTGACCCCGGCGTCCGGCAGGGCTCGATTTGGGCTTGTGCCCTTCGTGAAAGACCGGGACGAGTTGCCTGAGGGTTCCTTCGATGCCCGTGGCGGGGGTAAGCTCTTACTAGCCCAGTCTTGATTTGATCTTAACGTTTTCCCTTTCCGTATATTTCGTCTCCCTAGCGGTATTTCAGAATTTAAATATTTGAATGCTATATTAGATCCTTTATTCGGGGTGCAATGGCGGGCTTGGGGAATTTGGGACATGCTTTCTTTATGTACTGAGTTTAACCCTCGCGATAATATCATGGTCAAATCCCTTATGTGTTTCTGGAGCCACAGTATAAACACATTTGTATTCCCCTTCGGGATCTTGGCCCCGACTGTATTGGATGTGGTGGCGATTTTAGGTCTCCCTTCGAAAGGGGTAGAGCCTCCTTTGTCCCTGTTGTATAAGCCCGACCGATTATCAATTCCCGTCCCCTATGACAGTAACACTGCTATCAGTCAGTTCCTTGCATCAAATATGTTTTCTGGTTCCATTGATCCTTTGGAACACAATGTTTTCCTTATGTATTGGTTTAGTAAGTATTTTGTTTGTTGCATGTCGAAAGGATTCGTCCAGGAGGTGGAACCGATTGTACATGTTCTTATGTTAGTGGTGGAGATAGATTTAATTCATACTTCCTAGGTTTGTTATATCATGGTCCTCTGTGGTTTCTTGAGTTGTGCGCGCGGCTATATTTCCTGAATCTAATTAGCCCGCGCCTTGAACTCCCCAGGAGTCCGCTCACGGTTTTGGGTCCTTATCTGGCGTCGTATCCTTCTGTTCCAAGCGATCTCCATTCGATCACCTATTCTCTCTTACACGAGACTAATCGATCCTTAGCCGGATTCTGCCCTTTGTCCGGTTTTTTTGTACCTCTTGATACTTCTATCTCCGTAACTACCGACCTCCCTGGTTCCATGGGCTGGAACAAGTGCTTGACCGCTCGAATTTTGATTAGGGGGTTGTCCGTGGGATCCCGATATAATCCGTTGTTTGGAGAGGTTTATCAACCTCAGTACTGTGCACACCAATTTGGCCTAGTTCAAGGGATCCCCCTTTTTGGTTTTCTCCTACCACCCCCCTCGGTTCGGGTCAAAGTTTAGGGTCGGCTCTTGTCGACGATTAGCGTTCTGATATCCGTGACATAGAAGAACTGCCGCACTTCTCTTAAGCTTCTAATCCAAGCACGTTGCCTTCTTTCGACGACTGGTGGGACGATTTTTTGGTTCACTCGAACGTTGCTGCCCTTCAGCGATCTCTAGTCAAACTGGTTGATGGACGTTCGAGTGGCAATGGATCACCTGCACTATTTCCGAGGAGGTAGAGGAAATGCCCGTGCCCTCGGCCATAGGTTCTGAAGCCGTCGTCAAGTCGGCGGAGCGATCTATCTCCCCTCCATCGTCCTTCCAGGTAAGCGCTTAAAGGTCGACACAGGTTTGCTTCCGTGAACTATTCTAATCTGGTGTAAGAATGGAGGTTTTGCATGGAGCTACGACTCTGGAAGGGGCGGTTCACTCGGCCCGGATTCACTCCCCTGCCTCCATCAGGCCCGATAATGTCTGGACGTCCACCTCTCCAGCCGCTCCTTCAGTCCCGAAGGTAGTCCCTGCCGATGTGGAGGCATATTTCCCCCAAGGTCTTGTTACCAATGCCTCTATACCTTCCAACCTCGAGGATCTAGGTCCGGATCCCTTCGATGCATATCAGTCTGCTTTGCCAGAGAATTCGATCATCTTGGATAGCTTGCAGGCATCTGTTTTGGCCGTGGCCGCCTCCCTGTCGTTCGACCTGCCTCGTCGTAAGCAGTTGGAGGATCTTGCTGACCACTTGGGTGCAACTTCTGGGTGCCTAAAGATGTTGCAGGGTGTCCGCAATACGAATGACAACAGACTCAAAGAGTTGGCGGCTTTGGAAGCAGAAAAGGCGGCTTGGGCTCAGAGCTTTCTAGATGAGAAATAGCATACTGAAGATGAGACGGAATACATAGAGGGCCTTCGCGCTGAGGAAGAAGCTCTACTGGCTGAGTTGAGCAGAATTGAGGAGCGATTGAAGGAGATCCCAGAGGATTCGGGCAAGGGTGGCTGCGAGTCTTGCTTCCAGGACTTCTCGGAGAATAAAGATGTATGATCGAGCGAGGGCTCTGGATGAGCCTTTGTTTGGACTCCGCGGCCAGAAGCTCATCTTCAAGAAGAACTTCCAATGGGTTGAGAGGGGGTCAGAGGAGCTGCATTCGACGTGGCCTAGCATGATTTCCCTATGGACTTCTTTGCGTCCTGAGACTTCGGGGTCAGCCAACCGTCTTCCCTCCATGTTGGTCTTTGTGGCTGGGGGGTCATACGTTGCCAATACAGTGCCCAAACCACCGGCTGCAGGTACATTTGTTGTTGGTATTGGGCTTGTGGACATCCATGTCACTCATGATGTAGGTCTGAGCGATCCCCCTGTGGGTGAGTAACTTGTTCTGCATTCGTGTACCTTGAATTGAATCATTCCCTCCCCTTTTTGCTTTTGTCTCTTTTGTAATGATCTGTAAGAGGTGGAGGAAATTGTTTTGGTAGATATAAATTCAGCCCCGTGTCGGCCTTGCTTTGATGGTAGATCACTCCAAGTTATCCCCATTCTATCTGCGAATCAACAATCTTTGACTACGGAGACACTTTTTCTTCTAACTCCCAAAGGGATTGATAGAATTTCTTAAAATATTTTCCATTAATGAACGTGTTGAACTCCTTTCCCTCGGGTTCCATTAATCTATATGCACCGCCGGTTGTCTTAGCAGATATGATGAACGGTCCCTCCCATGTGGGTGACCATATCCCAAATTTCGTATCTTTCAGACCGACCGGAAGGATGACCTTCCAACCCATATCACCTTCCTAGAAGGCCTGGGACCTGACATGCTTCTGGAAGGCCATTTCTGCCCTTTTTTACTGATGCCGCGTATGTTCGAGTACTTGTAACCTTTCTTCGGGTAAGGCATCGAGCTCCTAAAGCAGTTCTTGATCGTTCTCTTCCATTGAGAGTCCGTTCATCTGCAAAGTTTGGAGCGACGGTATTGTAATCTCCAGTGGGAGCACGACGTCATGTCCGTAAGTTAACCGGTATGGGGTGCTGCCGGTCACTAAAGATTTGGCATTCCTATACGCCCATAGTGCTTCTTCCAACGTATCATGTCAACCTCTCGGATTATCTTCCAAAGCTTTTCTGATAATCGAAATTAACACCTTATTAGTTGTCTCGGCCTGCCCGTTAGCTTGGGGTAGTAAGGGAAAGAATGGAGCAATTGGATCCCATATTGGGCCACGAATGCCTTGACCTTCGCACCCGTAAACACGGTACCTTGACCGATGGTGATCGTCTTCGGGATGCCGAATTTGTGAATAGAATTTGTTTTAATAAAGCGTATGATATGGCTCTGCTGTACCTTGGTGAGCGGTATGGCCTTCACCCATTTCGTAAAGTAGTCGGTCGCCACTAGGATAAACAAGTGTCCTTTGGACGATGAGGGATGGATCGTTCCAATTACATCTATTGCCCACCCCTGTGAGGGCCATGGTTTGACGATTGAATGAAGTTCCTCCACGGGGATTTGTTGAAGCGGTCTGTGGCATTGACATGCTGGACATCCGCGAGCATAATCCACGCAATCTTGCGAGATCCGTGGCCAGAAATAGGCATAGCGGAGTATCATCCACCTCATTGTGTGCACCCCAAATACCTTCGTGGACCTCTGCCATGGCCTTCAATGCCTCCTTGTGACTTAGGCAGCGTGCCAGTATCCTATCCGACCTCCGTCGATACAGCTCCCTATTGATTTTGGTGTATTTCAAGAGCTGATATCATATAGCTTTTGAAGCGGCCTTCCTGGGGTCTGCCAGCCCTTCCAGCGAAGGGGTTTGCCAATCCAAGTCGGGTGTGACGACCTGGAAACATTCGACTCCTTGAGGCATGTCTCTCCTTCTAAAAACGGAGGCCCACTATGCCAAGTCATTTGCCTCCGCATTCTCATATCGGGGTATATTCTCTAAGACTACATCCATGAGCTACTGCAGGAGGTTGTGAACTTCACGGAGGCGGATCTGGAGCTGTGGATCTCTATACTTGAATTCTTTAAGGGCTTGTCGGATAACTAGTTGGGAATCCCCTCGGATGACGACCTTTCTGACCTTCCTGACGACAAGGAAACGCAAAGCCAAAAGTAGTGCTTCGTATTCGGCTTGGTTATTTGTAACACCTTGCGGAAGCTGATGTGCGAAGCGCCATATTTCCCCATTTGTGCTATAGGTTATTACGCCTGCTCCAGCTGCCCCCGCGGTGCTGGATCCGTCAAAAGCTACCATCCAGGGTTCTAGCCCCACATATCTATGGGCGTGACCTGAAGCATCCCCGGATGTTCGGCCAAGAAATTAGCTATGGCCTGTCCTTTGATGGCCTTAAGGGGCTGGTATGTCAACGTGAAAAATAATAATTTTAACGCCCATTTAACCAAACCACCTCGCAGGAGTGGCTTGTTTAGTAAATAGCGCAAGAGATCAACTTTACATACAACTTTAGTTTCAACTGACATTAGGTAATACTCCAATTTCGTACAGGAATTTTATAAGGATAAACAAAGTTTTTCAATGCCCGAATAATGACTTTCGGCCTCATTTAAGGTCTTACTAAGATAATAAATAGCACATTCCGACCTTCGTTATCGTTCTGGGCCAAAAGATAGCCTGTCGTGTCATGCGTCGCGGCTATGTATAGTTTTAGCCCCCTTCCGAGGATCGGCGGCATTAATACCGGCGGAGATGTTAGTGCCCGCTTAATCTGGTCTAAACCTTCCTGCTGGGCGGTCCCCCATTCGAATGTATCCTTCTTCCCGCGTAATAATACCGAGAAAGCCTTCATCCTCCTAGCCACGTTGGCGATGAATCTTCTCAAGAAATTGACTTTCCCCATCAGGCTTTGTAACTCATGATGTTGCGGGGGGGTCCGAGGTCTTGGACGGCCTTGATCTTGTTTTTATCAACTTCGATGACCTTCTGATGCACTAAAAATCCTAAAAAATTTCCTGTCTGTACTCCGAAAGCGCATTTTGCCGGGTTCATCTTGAGATCATGCCGCCTCATCTGTGCGAAGGCCTTACGAAGGTCCAATATGTGATGGTCGAAAGCCCGGGACTTAACAACCACGTCATCTATATACACCTCCATGCAAGAACCGATTAGGTTGTGAAATATTGCAGTCATCGCCATCTGGTAGGTTGCTCCGGCGTTTTTTGGACCGAAAGGCATAACTATCCATTCGAAGATTTTGATCGCTCCAGTGCAGCGGAAGGCTGTTTTATGAGTATCTTCCTCGGCCAGATATATCTGGTTGTAACCGGAGTAACCATCCATGAAGGATAGGACTTCGTATCTTGCCATGGAATCTACGAGCATGTCGGCAATTGACATTATGTGCTCGTCTTTTGGTGTTGCCAGATTGAGGTTCCGGAAATTGATGCAGATACGGATCTTCCCGCTATTCTTCAATACGGGAACAATGTTAGAAATCCATTCCGGGTACCTGCACGTGCAAATGAAGTTAGCTTTAAGGAGCTTTTCGACCTCCTCTTTCACCTTTGGGAGTTGAAACACCTGGGGCCTGCTTATGCGGCGGACACGAAGCCTTGATGGGCAGTCGATGCTCCACCAAACTTCTCGATAACCCGGGCATCTCGTGGTAGTCCCATGTGAAGCAGTCTCTGAACTCACGAATCAAAGCAACCATTCGTTCTTTCGCATCGTCGTCTAATAGGGCGCTAACCCGTGTCATCCGGGGCACTGCGTCGTCCCCTAGGCTAACTTCTTCCAGGGGATCCTAAGCTTCGAAAGGTGGAGCAGCCCTTCGAATTGGCGGCTGAATGTCTTCTTCGTTCAAGTCGTAATCAGGCGGTCCGGGGGTTGTTCCCACCTGTTCTCCAGGCGACGGAGCAACACGGTCTCCTACCTATATGAACGGATAGCCAGACCTTCCTGCCCTTGTCTCCAAGTCCTGCACAATCAGGTCGTTAAGCATGGTGACCGCTTGTGTGACCAGGCCGTTCGTTGGCCTTCACTTTGATTTCAAACCCCTTCATGGTTAAACTACATTCTTTCGATGCCCCAGTGTTCTCTAGCATCATGGACAGCAGGTACACCTCGGGGGAATAATATATGGCCGCGGAATGTACTCCCATAATAGGATCAGTCTCGGCTTCCACCGTCTCAACTTGATGTCCATTCCAAAACATGACTTTCTTGTGCAGGGTCGAGGGCACACATTGCATAGTATGGATCCATTCCCTCCCAAGAATAGCCGAATAGGTTGGCTTTCCTTCGACGAAAAAAAAAGTAATTTGATCTGTCCTAGTTCTGTCCGCCACTTTTGCCACTAGAACGCCTGCTGACGTATGCGCATTTATGGTGAAATCGGTCATCCGTAATGACGTTGGGACAAGATCATTTATGCTTTTCCCAATTTTCTGCAAAGTAGACAAGGTCATGACGTTAACAGATGCTCCTCCATCGACCAGGACTTTGCTAACCGTCTTCCCATCAAGATGGATGCTAAGGAATAATGGCTTCAGCTGACGTGTATTCTCGTCGGATAACTTCTGGAAAATCACTGGTTCTGGAACTTCTTCCGGAATGTTAAAGTCATGTTCCGCCCAATACAATGGACCAGTTTCTTTGGAGTAGAACATCTCCCTGGTGATAGTCAGGTTGGGACGGAGGCACTTCAAATTCCCAAGGTAACACGCCCACTGTCCTAACCTCGAGATCTCCCTCATGCTATTCGAGGTCTTTGTCGCAGGCGATAATGTCTAAGGTGGTCTCCGAAGCTCCACCGCAAGTAAGGGCGTCGATCCTTGGTTTATCCTCAGGAATCTGATCCCCCCGAAGCATCACCATAAAATGCGGTTCCTTGGGATATTCGACTCTCGAGAGAACTCCTTTCGGTCTCCACTCCCTCCAGGCCTGGATGCAATGGCGTAGGTCCTGATGACCGGGATTCAGTCTTTCAGTGTTAGTCTCTTCTGAGCTTTGGTGCTGATGCTTGTTATATCCACCTTCGTAGTAGGCAACTTACTGCCCCCCAGCCTGATGTTCATGGAAGAGGCAAGGGGCCAGGTGCCGTCGCTGCGCTCTCCTTTTTTGGGTTCTTGTTGGGGCTTGGTTCACTCATTCCTTTTGATTCCTTGTCCAACTTCCGTTGTTCGGGGCCTTCCCCGGAGTCGGGTCTGATGAGGTGTGATTACCACTTGGTCCACAGAAGTTACTCGCCAAACCTCCCCCCTTTTTTTAAACTCACTTCCGCGATTGTATTCTTGGGAGAAAGTCTATCCCATACCGAACTTCTCTTTGGCGGTTTAATCGACCTTCCCAACCGTTCGAACATGGGTTTTTTGAAATCTTCCCCTCTATGACCTGTCCAAGAAACTGTATTTGATCGTACAAATCTAGATGGGCGCACTCCGACAACGGTGATCGGCACCAGAAATGGCTCCGTATCCACTTTCACATCAGATTTTTTGGCCAGCTTAAGGCGGCCTTCTTTGATTGCGTTCTGAACGGCATTTCGGAAAGCAATACAGTTGCCAATCTGATGACCATATACTCCATGCCATTTACAAAATGATTTTCCATTTAGTTCCTCTTCGGTTGGCATCTTGTGACTTTCCTTAAGGCGGAGTTGGTTGTCTTTCAGCAGGTGTTCGAAGATCTGCTCTGTCTTTGCGATATCGAACGAAGAAGATATCTTCAGATTCGTATGTTTCGGTTGAGGCAGCTTAAGAGCTGGGGATGTGTATGCCTTCCCTTGTGCTATTTCTGCCAGGAAAGTCTACTCTCGTTCTTTATCCTCCTCGGCAGCCTCTTCTTGGGCGAAAACGTAATGATTCGCACCCCAAAAATTTTGATTCCAAACTGCCTGGGCCTCTCTCACAAGTTGTTCGGCCTTCACAGCCTTGGACGTCAACTGCCATAAATCATGATACTCTTGGAGGGCGAGTTTATCCCGTAATTGATGAGTCATGTTGTTGATAGCCATGTTTACCACTTGATTCTCTGGTATATGAACCTGGAACCTAGTTTCCGATCTTCTAAAGCGTTCCAAAAATTGCTCAATAGATTCCGATCTTCTGGAAGCGGGCTATAAAATTACTTGTGGAAGGCTCTTTCCATATCTGCCCAAGTGCGGATAGAATTCAGGGGTAACGAGGTATACCAGAAAAATACAGGGCCTGTAAGGGATAAAGAAAAGAGTTGGAGCTTGTACCAGTCATTATTCCCATACTCTCCTCCGCATTGAGCCGTAAATCGGCTAATGTGCTCGATCATGGAGTGTGAATCATCCCCTGAGAAAAATGCAAACTCGGGGATTCGAGCGTTGCGAGGCAACGGGTGATCCAACGGGATATATCCTGGAAAAGGCCTTTGGTAATGAGGCTTGGCCAGTAAACAGATAGGATCACTATAAATCCTTCGTATTGGATCCTCGATCGCCTGAGGATTCAGGAGTGGCGGCGGCATTACTTCTGTCTGCCCCCCAGGCTGCTCTGGAGGTGCTTGGATGGGCGGGAAAATTCCAGATCGCCGGCTGCGGAGAGGCCTAAAGAATCGGTTCCCGTGCCGGGACGTGAAATCTAGGGGCTTCCGCGACTTCTCTTACCGCTGGGGTCTGCTGTACTGGGAGATTCTCGGGGGCTGCCTGGGCAACGAATTCGAATTTTGTTGTGTCCCGGAGCCAGCGGCAAACGGACCTTCCACAATGCTAGCCTGCCCTCTAGCACGATGGGATGCGGCTGGAGCAATCCCCCCTAGCCCCCAGGCTGTCCCCGAAGAGACTGGAGCGAACGAAGGTGTTGGGATCGCTGACAGTCCTGCCCCCCAAGGGTTTGCCGGAGCAACGTGAATTCCGTTCGTATGGCGGGCTTGAGTACGTCAGTGATATATTTAGACAATTCTAGAGCGGATTCGTGGAGAGAAGATTGAATTTCTCTGCGAATTTGTTTACGGAGAACGCTGGCCGGGAGGCTGATGATGGGATCAGACCTTTCAGCCGCTAGAGAGTTTTCATCTCGTGGAGCAGCCTCCTGCGCGGGGTGCGATGACAAATCGCCGACAATTTTCTTCTTCTTTGACATCTCCATGGTCGTCGGCGGCATCAATTTTCTTTTTCGAAGTTTCATGCAAAAAGTCGCGAGACGTCGGTGTCTCACTGGGCGTGCCAATTTGTTGTCATCAAAAAATTGCCACCGACGGCTTAACCGAAAAAGCCTGTCGGAATTGATTTAATCGTAGGGTTCCCCGGCCTCCTCAAGAAAAGATCCAGGCTATCTCGCGATAACCGAAAGAATTAACGAATAAAGAAGGTAAGACAAGAACGGTGGAAATTGAATTACATTAACTCGAGAAAACTATAACAGTCTGAAAAGAATGTAGGAATTAAAAAATTACAGAGGAAAAATTAATGCAGAAGACAATGATTGATCATGCCCCTTCGTTCTTCAGCCTTCTTAGGCCTTTGTTTCCCTAATCTTCTTCGGATAAGATTCTTATCCCTTATTTTTCTCCAACCTCCCCATCCTCTTTTTGTTTTCAAATTATGCCTTATCCATTTACTTGTTGACCGTGGGCCTATTTACTGATCTGGACCTTTTTCTGGGCCATACCCTCCCGGGACTTGGCCTGCGCTTGCTTGGGCCGGCCCGGTTGATTTTTGGAGTGTACGAGGGTATTTATAAGATCTACGGTGTGACAATCTTCCGTTGTGCTGTTTTGTATCCATTTCTGCTTTCTAAAACTGTTCTTATCTTCTCTGTTGCTTTCTGATAGTTTCAAGTTTCTTCATCCATTATGTTTTTTTTTAATGCACATGTTTGCATCAGGGTGTGTTTGTTTGGGAGTTTGGATTTTGAGTTGGGATTTGAATAGTAATAATTTGAATTTGAATAGTTCTACGATGTGATATAAATAGGTGTTGATGTGATGTTTTGAATGTAAAATTGATTTTTAGTATAATATAAAAAATAAAAAATAGGAGTTTGATTTGATGTTTTTAGAGGGAAAAAATTAGATGAATAGGTGTAATTTTGATTTGACTGCTTGGTTATGTTGGATAAATAATCTGGATTGAATAAAGATAAGAAGAAATCGAATTTCGCAGGGTATACACGATCTTGGATATACTTTGAGTCACGAAGATTCGCTTTCCTTATACCATATTTCGATCCTATTAACGCCCCGGATTACACGAAATTCGTATAAGGATAAAACAAAGCAACACCCAAATTTTAGGCGAAAAATCGAGCAAGTAAACAGTTGAGAGATTATTTGTGCACACAGATTAATTCTGCAGACAAGAATCCGCATAATCTTTTTGTTCTTTTTTTTGACAATTATGTGAAGATAAGACATCAATAATATATTTGGAAGTGTCTTTTCTGAAAAATATTTGAATTTTAATTTTAAATCCAAAAGACACAAATATGCAACTTTAATTTCAAATTGAAAAGATTCAATTTATTTATTAAAGTTATCAATTCAAATGTAAATAAATTTGAATTTACAAGGTTTTATTGAAAATAATAATTTTCAAACAATATGTACGATAATTTTCACCTTCATCATATTATTTCGCACTTCGTTTAATATCGTATAGGCTTTCTCGAGCGCGCACCCCACGCGACCCTTCCCGAAGATAGCTCGATACAACATTCCTTATCTTCGAATTAATCCAATAGCAACAAAATAACCAACAGGTTAATAGTTTGGTAGAGGTTTTGAAAAACATTGCGGGTTATTTTATGTTATTTTACCTTTTCAGTTTGTTTAAGACCTTGGAAATTGTATTTTTCTAGCATGTTAATGTGGGTTGTAAATTGATTTGAAGCTACATTGTTAGAGAAGAGCTATTTATCAAGTTACTATTTAAATCCCCTAGCCTATCCCGAACATGGTTTATGTCCCTCTTTTCAGCTCGTACTATTGAATGCCTTTGAGTTTATTTTTCACTCGATTCAAAATTGTGACAATGACTTTTCTTCTTCAATCACTTAGCAACAATTATTTCTTAGTTAGATATGTAATGTATGTGTGTATGTTGCATTGCTGTGTTATATATACATACATATACACTATATAGGTTAACAACACTAAGTTGTTAGTACCCCTTAGTTATTACACTGCTACTACTACTGCTGTTGTTGTATTCAATTAATCAACTGGGACTAATGGTTCAATTATTGATTAATTGACTGCAAATATATATGGTTCTATCTAAACAGAGCCATATATTATTGTCCCTCTCAAATTAAAATTGTTCAATAAAAATCACAAAAATAATAAAGCTCTGTTCATATTTTAAGTGTAATTAGCTATACTGATTTTATTTCTGCCCTAATTCATTTGAGGAGTTTTGACTCTCTGGGTTTTTTTCTGCTGCAGTGGGAAGGTGAAATCATAGCAAGGACACATACTAGCAGCATTCCGTGATGTAGGTTGAGAAGTGTGTTCAAATATGTACATATTTTGTACTAATTCCTTTTGATTCTTGGCTACATTGGAGGTTGGCTAATTGCTGCTTTTGTGTTCAAAAAAAAAAAAGACTTTCGGAGCTGGGAACATGGGAAGTGAACATAAATTTCCATTACCAGCATCTGTAAAAGGAATAAATTTATTATGAGTGTTTTCTTTTCTTGTTTTAACTTTTTTTATTTTCTTTTTTATCGTTTTGTTCATGGAAGAAATTGATTTTAGTAAAATAATGCATTCAATGATTCTATAAGAT